ACTAAATCCTCACAACTGGACCAATAGGTAACATCGTTATAAACGGGGAAATGGTTGAAGTTGTCCAAGATTTCATCTTGTTTGGACCCACAATCAATGTTCATCAAAGTAACAGTCAAAAGATCAAGATGAGCTGAATTAGGGACATCTGCTGCACACGACCATTGCTGCAGTTCTCCACCTGTGGGTCACCACCTCTTTGGGGGGTGGAACGACGTTTTCCTAGGGATCGCCTGATTCCTAACAGTAGCAAAATTACAGTAATGAAGTAGCAATGAAAATAATGTTATGGTTGGGGGGGGGGGGTCACCACCACATGAGGAACTGTACGAAAGGGTGGAGGCATTAGGAAGGTTGAGAACCGCTGACCTGGGGAGAAACCTTTCTGTATTCCACAACCAGCTGCTTCACGGCAGAAAGCAGAGACAGTCTTTCTCCGTAAAGAGTTAGTCTCGACTCTCACTCTCTCACTGACTCACTGTCTCACTCTCACTGACTCACTGTCTCACTCACTCACTGTCTCACTCAATCACTGACTTACTCTCACTCACTGTCTCACTCACTCACTCTCACTCTCTCACTGTCTCACTCACTCACTCACTGCAAAAAAAAAAGAAAAAAGAAAAACAAAAAAAAAGAGTTAGTCTCAAACCCCCGAGGGAAGTTCCACTCTGTTCTCCAGGGTCACCAGGTTTTGGAACTGCCTGGATGGCAGTGATGTGTAGAGAGAACAGTTTAGTCATTTGCCATTAGCAATGTAGCTGATAAGTGTCCCCAAAAATCCATCGTTGCTGGTTAACACTTTTAGTCATTTGCCATTAGCAATGTAGCTGATAAGTGTCCCCAAAAATCCATCGTTGCTGGTTAACACTTTGTTTCCTGATGAGAAAATCCATTCAAGAAGCCAAGTCACAAGCTAAAGAAGTGGTTCTTCAACGTCCCCAACCTTGATCCCCACCCTCCACTCAACCACAATTTACAATCTCCTGCGTGATTTCTAGATCTCAGTCACAGTTTGTTGATTCTTACTGGCTGCGTCGTCTCTGGTGAGAGGGTTTCGAAGAACTGCCTGGAGGTCTGTAGTGAACACAAACCGGACTCCTCCGCTGATGCAGTCACTACCACAATATCATGTGATGGAACAGATGGGGCGAAGAACATGCAGAAAGATCTAGAGGGACAGAGCGGGGTGGGGGCTGAACAAGACTCAGAAAACGTCTTTGCAGTGGGAAGGAGACTCAGGAAGGAAAAGCAGGACTTCCCGGGCCCAAGGAGGCCTTTTGGGGGAGAGGGGAGCCCCAGAACTGCACGCAGTGGTTCTCAGCCACAGGGCGTCATAAACAGTATCTCATGACAAAACCAAGAAGGCAGCGAGTGTTACAACAAATCCTCATCATCACCGTCATCCTGGCTAACATGCTGGGACCACCAGAGACCATGCTGAGAGTCCTGCCTGTTCTATCTGCTGTTCACCTCACTCCCGTGGTGTGAAGATCACCAACGACCATTTCAGAGGTCAGGGAACTAAGCACAGAGTGGCTCCCACACTATTAGATACATGGGATATAGACTCCCATGCAGACTCCAGAGCTGATGTCCTAATTTAAGTCGAACAACAAAATCAAATCAGATTCACGGTCACTTTCCGTGGGGACCCCTGGTGGGATAGCATGGTGATCATGCGTTGGGCTGCCATCCGCACGGTCGGCAGTTTGAAACCACTAGCAGGTCGGGAGGAGAAAGACTGGACTTTCAACTTCTGTAAACAGTTCTAGTCTTGGCATCCCACCCTGGGAGGCTGTGGGTCAGCATTGACTCAGGGGAGCCTTGGTAATACAACAGTTAAGCACTCGGCTCTTCACTGGATTGTTGGTGGTTTGAACCCACCAGCGGCCCCACAGTGGCCAGCTGCTCCTGAAGCGATCGCAGCTGAGGACATCCCGTGGGGAAACTCCCCCGTTGGAGAGAGCCCGAGTGGGCATTGGACAACAAACGGACGGAAGGCCACAAGGACTTGGGCATGCCCGCAGCCACTGAATGAGAATGGCATCCATTGGATGGATGGGTGTGGAGTAGAGTTGAAGGCAGCTGACCGGAAGAAATAGAAGGCGGTGGCGGCGGCGGCGGAGGACCCAGAAACCTGGCTGCTGGCTCTATAACACAGGCTAACAAATATTTGTTCTAATTTAGGGTTTCACAGGTCTATCTCCACACAATAAAGCAGCAATCACGTTCAAACCACCATTTATTTAACATAAAGGAAACAGAAACCTAGAATTACCAACAGGGCACGACCTATGCGTATTATTAGAGTGGGTTTAAGTTGCACAGTGATTTCTGCGCACCCTGTCAGCTCAGCTGGGGCGGGGCTGTCTCCTGCTGGGTTTCTACATTCTTGCTTTCTGCTGTCTGGCGCCGCAGATGTGGAGGTTCTGTGGGTGGCCCGGGGTTCAGCCATCTGATGACAGCCTTGGGCATTCGTGTGTGCGCATGTGCGTGTTTGTGTGTGCATATCTGCCCTGCTCCAGAGGAAGTGCCGGCTGCTGCCCCATCCCTCTTCCCTTGAACTAACTCCCTTTGAATACATATCACTTTACAATTTACAAAAAAAATCTGCTTACACACCGCATCCTTGCAGTTACACCCAAAGAAGCGGGCACGATCAACTGCTTTTTGGGTACGGGCAGTTTACCAGGAGAGGCCAACTTCCAGTGCTTGACAAGTCAGCAGTTCAAATCCACCAGCTGCTCCACAGGAGAAAGACGAGGCTTTCTTCTCTGAAAAGATCTGGTGCCTCAGCAACCTGCAGGGGGAGTTCTCCCTCCCAAAGGGTCACTATGCAAGGAACTATATGTGACCTCCTTCCTGGGGGACGGACAACCGAAAAGTCAGTGAAGGGAGACGTCGGACAGGGCAAGATATGACAAAATAATTTATAAATTATCAAGGGCTCATGAGGGAGGGGCGAGCGGGGAGGGAGGGGAAAAATGAGGACCTCATGCCAGGGGCTTAAGTGGAGAGGAAATGTTTTGAGAATGATGAGGGCAATGAATGTACAAATGTGCTTTACACAATTGATGTGTGTATGGATTGGGGTAAGAGTTGTATGAGCCCCTAATAAAATGATTAGGGAAAAAAACCCAAAAAAACCCCTAAAGGGTCACTATGATTCAAGATGTACTCTCCAGCAGTTTCCGGAGACGTTCCCACCACCCCATTCTTGTTGGATCATTTCATGCACACCCATCCACTGAACACCAGTGTAGGTCAGCTACTGTGCCAGGGACTTTATCACACGCTCCTCTGAGAGACATTTGTTCAAATCCCTGGGTGCAATTCCTGATTCTTTTTAAGTGGTGGAATTTACAAAGGCTAGACGGGTGGTACTACAGTCGCCAGGGCTGGACCTGCAAGGACGCCAAGGCCAAGTGGGGACTACAATCTAATTGGCACGCAGCGGACACCTTCTGAGGGAAGCAACACAACATGCAATGGAGGGCGTGGGGCTGTGGGAAGCCCATCACTCCCAGCTCAGGGACACCCATGGGCCCGCCAGCCGGAGTCTGGGCCCCTATGCCTGGCCTCTGGGCTTGCCTGCCCACAGGCTGGTGGGCAGCGGGGTCTGCCCATCTGATGCAGAGCCATGGCAGTGGCCTTGTTTGGTTGGATTCCGTGTGTAGACTGGACTCAGGCTGCACAGGTCTCTGAAGGGTGCCTTTTGTGCAGGATGTTCTTTCTATATTCCAAAACGCCAGGCCTGGGGAGAGTAATCAATCCTTTCTCTCCCACTCCAGGCTAGCTAGATTTGCCTGAAAATGAATGTTACAAAATGTTGTCTGCACCCAAGGAGTCTACCACAGTGAAGTCATTTCTGACATACCGAAGTGCCAAGACCCACGGACCTTCTGACAGCCCCGCACCTTGCCTCCCACTGAGCCAGACAGAAGCAAGGAGGCTAGACTTCAGAAACACACAGCTGTTTAAAGGGTTGAAGACCGCAGGCAGCTCCAGGCCAGCAGCCTCCATGGCTGGTGGGGGAGGGCACGCCTTGGTGGGGGGGGTTAGCAGGCTCTCCCAGCATGAAGCATGGAGTGGTGACTGCTGGGACGGGCAGTCTGTAGGCATCCAGAGCTGCTGCCCTCTGGGTGGGAACTGGTCGAGCTGCCGTTTGTCCATCCCTTAAGGCAACCACCTTCTGCCACTAAGTCCCCCTCAATGCTCAGCTCCACGAGCTCACCGACACTCCCACCATGGGGTCTCCGGCTGCTGCAGCCTTGGCTCCCAGTCACCTGCACAGGCTCTCCACATTGTATGGGGAATCACCAAATTGGAAGGCAGCCGGAAGCCATGTGTTGCTGGCTCCTACCCAAGGCCCCACACGTAGCCAGTGACCGACGGGGAGCCCACGCTGTTTCCCCTTCTTGAGCCCAAGCTCATCTATCCTCCAGAAACACGCAGCAGACGGCCCTTCTCCTCCCGGTGGTCTTCCAGGAGTGGACCGGCCACACAGGCCTCCCGATCAAGTGCCTCTATGCCTTTTCAGGACTTTACAGGGCGGAGGAAACCAGGACAGTGGTGCTGGCTCACACTGGCCATCACTTCTATTAGTCACTGGGCTGTTGTATCTTAGACTCAGCTCCCATGCCCGCCTGAGGAAAGCGGCCCATTCAGCTTCCAGATGGCATTGGAAACTTCCCCAGTGGCTTACAGGCTGGCAAAGAAGGGGCTACAGGCTGGCAAACCGTCACAAACATCCCGTGCGGATCTGAGAAAGGCTGAGGTTGCAGGTAAATGGGCATCCCAGCAGAGGGCTCTCCACCCCCAGCAAGACTCTCCCCGGCACCACCCCCCAACCCCGGGCATCGGCAGGGCCCAGGAGAGCTGTGACACAGCCCACCACCCCAAACCCCTGCGGAGGCAGCATTCGGTTTCTCTGTTGTCATGACGTGGCAGCCAAGCGGTGACTTGGTGTCTTCTGCATAATAATCACATACAGCTGCTGAGCCCTCCAGAAACGGTATTTATAAATCATTCTCTCCATTAAACACCTGCTCTTCCTCTGACAGTGCTCAACTGGAAAGCAAAGTGTTCAGATTTCCCCGCATCCCAGGATCATCTTCGAGGCCACCAGAGGAGAGCAGACATTCGGCTGAGAGGCAGCGGGGGCTGGGCAGAGGCCACTGAAACCTGGAACCGGCTGGAGCCATCCCACCGAGGGCAGCCTGCAGACTAGCTGTGCTTCCCAGGCAGTGGGGCCAAGACCTCTTCCCTGAGGCGAGGCGGGGCCGGGCGGGGGGAGCACACTGCACCCCCACCCAGCTCGGTCCACCCCAGGGGTGCACAGGCATCTGGACGCCACCACAGCCAGGGGCCAGGCTGGCACTGCAGCGGTATGCTGTGAGAGGCCCACTTAGGAAAACACCTCCGCATGTCTGCGAGTGCGGCCGCCCTGGGGTGCAGCATGGGAGAGGCCAGGAGGACGCATGGGGGGGATTTAATGTGCACAGCGCCACTCAGGCCCAGTCTGGAACCTGTGACCCCCGAGGACCCCCCCCCCCAGCCCTTCCTGGGAGACCAGTCCTCATCGGCCCTCGGTGGGGCTCCCAGAGCGGTGCAGAGCATGATCCAGTCTAAAGGAGGTTTGGGAATAAGGCTGTCCTCCCCAAGCTGGGGGGTCCTCGTGGCCTGGAGTGCAGGTCCTAAGCAGTCCTCCAGCTGGGGGCCTAGAGGAAGCCCTCCCGGCGGAACTGTTCCTGGAGAAGGGCTCGGTACTGGTCAAAGCCGCCGTCCACGCGGGTGACTCCACCTCCTTCGCACACCCACAGCTCGCGGCACACCAGCCGGATGAAGCGCTCGTCGTGGGAGACCAGAATCACGCCGCCCTGAAAGACAGGAGGCTGTGGCGGCGATGGGGGTGGCGAGAGGGGGCGCCCAGCCCGGGGGTGGCCTGCACGAAGGCACACTCACCCGGAAATTGTTGAGTGCACAGCCCAACGCCTCGATGGTCTCCATGTCCAGGTGGTTTGTGGGTTCGTCCAGAATGTAGAAATTGGGGCTGGAAGGCAGAATCCAGAGGGGAGGGTGAACAACCCTTTTTGAGCTGAAGGGCAGGGGATGATTTTTCTCTTGGGCAAGAGGGGCAAGTGGGCGGCCTCACCAGGGCATGGTCATCTGTGCAAAGGCCACCCGGCTCTTCTGGCCCCCAGACAAGCTAGCAACAGGACGCATGGCCAGCTCTCCCGAGATGCCGTACCGCCCGAGCTGGTGACGGTATTCTTCCTCCGGCCGCCCTGCAAGAGACCCCGCCTGTCACGTGGTTTCCGGTCCAAGTCCTCAACCTAGACTCAGGCAGCGCTGCAGCACCCACCCCAGACAGGCCTCTCCCCTGCACTCAGAGCCCAGACACACCAGGGAACTTCCGGGCCAGCAGTTCCACGGCGCTGACATTCAGGTCCAGCTGCTCCACGTGGTGCTGGCTGAAGTACCCGATCTTCAGGTTCCTGCAGGCAGACGGGGGC